GGTCTCGACAAGAATGGCCAGCATATCCGCAGGGAGGCCCAGTGCAAGAAGCTGCTCGAGCTCGTCAAGAGCACCGACACTCCTGGGCGATGGAGGGCTAACAGGTCGCAGGGAGTCGTGCACCGTGCCTCGACCCCAGCGGTGCGCCTCGTCGTCCCCGACGACCCTGCGCAGGCGACCGCGCTGGAGTGGAATCATCGTCTTATTAATGATGTTGGCCTCGACAAGGACGCGTTGCTCTCCGCCTTCAACAGTCTTTTCGGTGAGTCCGAGAAGGTCCCGTGGGGTGTTTAGTCTGCGCTTTACTCCATGGAGGGCCACGCGCGAGGTGGCGACGCCGCTTTCGTTTGCGACATGGAACACCCGTGCTCTTCTGCACCACGAGCAACCGATCCGCCAGCATAAGCTTCAGTACTTAGCGCAGCATCTACGGCGGGGCACCATCATGGCCCTGCAAGAGGCGCATTCGACAGAGCTGGAGTTGGAGCAGGAACTCTACAAACTCCACATCCCACTACTTGTTTTCTCTTCGTTCGGGCCGCAACGGAACACAGGTGGTGTTACGATTATTACTTCTTATTCCCTGTGCTCAGAGTGGTGTTCATCAGCGGGCTCGGTTCTGGCACGAGCAGCTGGTTCCTGGCAGGGTTCAACGGCTACGTATCTCGGGTATCAGAGACGGCTCACGACAGGTGGCCACGTCGACGGTTATCTACAGCATCCATAATCACGGCATCACTAGTCAGCAAGTGCAGACGCTCAGGCAAAGGGTGGCTCGGGACGTCGCGCTTGCATCCACCGCCCCTGACAGAATCTCTATTCTCTTGTTGGGTGATTTTAATATTTATGCGGCACTGCCAATGTATCCCCGTGCTCCTGGGATTGACCGCCGACGCCCTGTCTCGGATGTCGCCCCTCGTGTGGGCGAGGCGGAATGGAAGCGCATCTGTTCTCTCCTTCTGGCGGTGGAAAATGAGATGCCCACGCATTATGTGACGCAAGAGGGGCAGCAGCCGAAGTTGACTCAAATCGATCGTATTTTTCTTTCAACCCAGAGCTGGGGGGCGATCCAATGGATCATGACGGTCCCTACCCCTGACTTCCCCGAAACTCTTCATGAGAAGGGCATCAGCGACCATGCTCCTGCGGTGCTTACCATGGCTCCGAGGCCGGCCGCGCCCTGTGACACGCAACGCATACCTTCGTGTATCTTTCAGGATCCTGATTGCGCTCGACATGTGAAGAACATGGCTGCAGAGGTGGATTGGAACCGTCACACTACTACCTCCAGACGTATGGTCACCAGTAATATCATGAAGGAGGCTGCACGTCTTGTTTGTAACCGTCTAGTCCGCAATCCTCAATTATCGGAGGCTCGTCTGTTGGTCTTTTGCTCAATGGCTCGCGCAGTGTGGAGGGGCGACACGAGGCTGGCACAGCGACTGCTCTCCTCCTCAGCTCTAGCGTGCGAGCACTTGCGTTTGGGGGGCGACAAAGTGGAGCTTCGCGACACGGCGGCCTTCGCCCGTGCATTTACTCTTGAGCAGCAAGCCTTCTCGACTGAGCGGGAGGCGGCGCTCGCTGAGCGCGAGGCGAGCACCAATCCCGACGCAGCATCTTTCGCTTTTATGAATGCACAACGACGGGCTCTTCGGCGGCGCGCCGCGCTCTGGGCGCCTTTCGCTCGCTCGCTCAAGCTCCAAGGCCTCCGACTCCCTGGTGACTGTGAGGTGGCGGGCTCTGACGGAGCTACGACGGCACTGGGGCCCAGCATTTCAACGCAAGCCGAGGTGCACCAATTGGGCTCAGCTAGCTGACAAGTTTCTAGGGAGGTTCGGTACGCAGTTCGAATTCTCCGACGTGCTCCCACCGACTGCCGCCCAGCTGATGGAGGCCGCTCGTCGCGCTCGCCCGTCGGCACCTGGGCCTGATTGCATGCCTTATGAGGCGTGGCGCAGATCGCCGCTGGGGATGCAGACTCTAGAGGAGATTACCTTGGATCTTGCCGCTGGATTGCCGCCACCCGCCGACTGGAATGATCATCTTATGGCTTTTCTTCCCAAGGGGCAGGAGGGTAGCGGCGACACCTCGGGTGCATATCGGACGGCCGCTACTACAAGAGCGCTCGCATTGAAGGACTCGGATTGCAAATTGGCGGCGAGTGCGACTAACGCAAAATTTAAGAGAGCGGTGGCTGCTTCCTCCCCTGAGGCTCAGAGGGGCTTTTTGGTTGGCAGGAATTTTCTCTTCAATATTACATTGCTGGACACTCGTGCTAGGGCGTGTGGGTTCCAATGCAAGGATGGCCACCCAGTCATGGTGTTGTATGACTTCGGGGATGCTTTTCCTTCGCTCGAGATCGATTGGCTTCTCAAATCCCTGTCGCATGCTGGCGTGGAGGATGGCATCCTCTCGATCCTCGCGTCTCTTTATTGGCCCCCGACGCCCCGCGTCCAAGTGGATGGCTTATTTGCAACATTTCCTTTGCATTACGCGTGGA